GGAAACTGGCAAGTGCCCTTTTCGTTAGTATGTGTGTACGTTCTCGCCATTTCCCCGAGTTTGCGAGGGTATGAGATGGTGGGAAAGTGGCGAGAGTCCATGAGAGGGATTCTCGTCACCTTCCCATATTGTCGACTCGCTGGCGCATTGTTCGAACTGCTGGCGCATCTACAACCACTGGCGCATCTCCAACCACTGACATATCGCTCATGCCCAGCGATTCGCTGAATTCGATGCCGGCCTATCGGCCGTCAGTGTTGTGTCTCATTAACTTTTCCATGAAGTATCGAAGTGTACATTTAAAGTTTTTGAATGCGTCTAAAAAGGCGAGAAGTCTCGTATCATCACTTACGCTGACGATGTTTTGGGTCACATCAATGCGGCATATGTAATCAGGCATGCACGATATTCTTGCATACAATTAGCACGATAGTGAAGTGTATTCGTCACTGCCTTCTCAGCTTTCGACAAACTAAATCGTTTCGAAAACTGGAAGGCATCAGTAAAAAAATCCCGATTTAACACGTTGACGACATTGTGCAGCGCATGCGCATCACACCTTGAGCACCGTGTGGGACCGTGTGCAGCGCATGCGCTGCACACACAAAATATTTATTTTTTTCGCGCATGCGCTACTTCTTTTCTAATTTTTTGCATCTATTCTATAGACTACACCACCATAATATGACTAGACACGGCGAGGTTCATTGAATGGTTGAATATGCTCCTTTTTAGCGAAGGTTTTCTAAGCCCTACGAATTTCCCAATTGTGTTCATTCCTAGTTTCCTTTATATTCTGATAATCTTGGTCATAAAAAAGAGCAGTAGAAGTAAGTACAGACCCACACATATAGCAAGACATATGTTTTTAGTGGAGCAACCGCGTCAAAAATAATTTTGAGGTTCACTGCAGCAAAAGCAACTGAAACTTGCCTTTCATCGCCAGAAAACGTCAATTCGATCGATTTTTTACAGTTGTCCCTTCTGATAAGTTTGACACATCGAATATCATTCTAAACATTTTGTTGCATCCGAGTTTTGGGTATTTAAAGCTCAAAATTCACGGATTGATGTGAGGCGGCGGCGCCTGCAAAATCGCCGTGGTCCCACGCGGCGCAAAAACCCAAAACGCGCGTTGTCGTCAACGTGTTAATTTGAGCCTACAAAACTGATCTCCACATTCCAACTGGAACGGGAAAAGGGGAACTTGAGCGCAGGGACCACAGATCGGTCAACGTTTCATGATGCAAAAGAAATTCTGGAATTTAGAGCGAAATATCGAATCAGTGAGTTGGGTTGCGCGAATTATGAGATTACGCCGTACTGCACACTATGCGTGGGTTCAGGAAGCCTCATTTTTCCTCAGCACGTTATGACTCATGTGGCGGGTCCTGAAAACTGATGGAACCGAAGTAGTTCGTTCTTTGCTGGAATATTATCTTTGTTAAAACTCACTGGGAAAACAACTGGCAATTGGGGATGGAAGCTCCACAAGCTAGAGCTTCGAACCAGTTTTAGGTCTTGAAAACGACGACTTCTTCGGAATGCGATCCAGGTAAAGAGTGTCCACCAGAGCAAAAACTTCCGGGAGAGCAAACTAGAAGCCAACTTTCTTGATACCCACTGTTTTTAAAGACTGACACGCGACGTATTCAATCAGTTCATCAATTGTGTCGATGAAATGAGAATCATGTATCACCTGAGCAGTGGGTTAAAAGTCCAAATTATAGAGCGATCAGCTTGCATAAGTAGGATCATTTAAGCATCGCTTACATTCGATTAGCTTTCGAGGTAGAACTGGAGTACTTGGCGCACTTGGAATTGAACTCTTCCGAAGCTTCAAAAATCACCTTAAAGGGAGCTATGAGCTAATATCAGTTTAATGTGCGCAAATTTCCCGAAGTATTCGAGCGATTATCTCGGAAAACCCGAATATCACGAGCCCTAGGGACTGAATTATGCTTGAGTAGGATTGCGCTCGGCTTGAGTAGGTAGGCTTTGCGTGTTTTCTGTACCTTATCTAAGCCATCGCAATAGTAACCCTACTTTTTCGGGAGTTTTTTTTTGCATAACGCCAAATTCCAGGACAGACAGGAAGTAGGGACAGACGGACGGAGAAACAGAAAGAACGGACAGATGGACTGTCAGATAGAGCCATCTTTGACCTCTCTTGTTAAATATCTAGCAATTTTTCAGTAAAAAAAAACTAGAAGATAGACTGTCACGCAACACATAAAAAATACCTCTCATTGCTACTTAAAGACGTTTGCCCATCATAGCCGCCAATAACGTAGAGCCTTTCGAAATAAGAAGTGAGACCAATTGAAGACCTACAGAAAAGAGATGGTTGTTGGAGAACCTGAGCATCTTCGGTGTAAAAGATTCACGTACTTTCGTACCTTTTCTTGCTCATGGGAGCAACGCGTACCCAACTCGGATTGGCTATTCGAAGATCAAGCTTTTCTACGGAGGAGAGGGCCTCTCCATTGACTGCTCCTCCAACTGAATATTACACAGATCACGTGACAGTGTTATCATTCAGCAGTCATCTCAAAAGTCTCAGAAGATTAGCATATGCTTCTAATTTCAGTGAATTGCAATATGTTAAACAACACTGAATGCGCAATCAGTTCAGCAGCTTCCATCACTGAATGTGTTCCATGCAGTGACTAAAAATTAGTCCTGTTTTCCAGGTTACCCAATGTGCAAGGCCGCATTCGATTATATACGTATCACTGGACTGAACGAGACTACAAATTTTCAACACCATCGACCCTTTACCTCGATCAGAGACTGCGCGACTTCAATCAGCCTCCCATTCAAAGGAGTATTCCACGATAAGATCGAAGATGGGAAAGTGGAAACTTACTTAGTGGAGAGATAGGCCGACCCCTGCGAACCGACACGCAATTCACAGCGAAGGATATGCCACGGCTACCTAACATGGTCCTCCCCGCGGCGCTATCGGTACTCACCAGGGGCCAAACACTCACTTACTGTTTGCAGAGAGAGAGAGAGCAGCGTTAGCGTGGAAGAGGGCAGCGTCAACGAGAATACCGTCATCAGTACCATCGAAATGAGTGGGCAAGATAGGGATCCACTTCTACAGTTTTAGGCAGTTTTCCATGGTTTTGACTTCATGGTTACACTACTGACCACCTCTACCTTTGTTCCAATGGGCTGCCTTCTGATCGTGAACTCTGCCTTTAATCTTGATATTTTCCTTATACATGCTTGAACTTGCATGTCCCTTTCTTGGTGGAAAATTAGGAAGAAAACTGGGAACTATCGCACTGCAACTCACCGGCATATAATACCTCATTACATTTGAAAGGTATTCGCGGTCGAATTCGAGGTGCTTCCACTTTCAGTCGCTCATGGGTGAACAGTTGCAGAAGAAGATAGTTCTAGAGTGGTCAACGATCAACATAGACGCTGCAATCAAATCCAGAAAACGCCACTAGCCTTCGCTTCATCGACGAAATCTCGGCAGGCCACATCAGTCATCACTAACTCGTCTTTGCCTATCGTGTTGACAAGGAATTCTGGCTGACAGAACGAAAGTCCGTACGTGCTCCAAAACCTACAAGGCAGTCTATCAGAGGGCTGTCAAGCACTGACGAGTACAGAATCCTTACCCTAGGGAGGAACTGTTTCCGAGCTGCCAGGTCAAATTTAATCCATTCAAGCACTGCTGCGAAAACCTGAAAGGATACTTTCCGGTAATTAGTGCGAAATGATAAGCATATAGAGAGAACCATAGGCAGATTCAGATTCTTGTGCACAAAACTTGACAAAATACCTGCTCCTCTGACTGTACATGCAGATCTTCACATGAAATCACTTCAATTAAGCGGTCAACAGAAAGTTGTAGAAATTCCTCACTACCAACAACGTCCTGAAAAAGTAAAGCAAAATATCTGCTGAAACCATGAGTTTACAGCTACAAGGTTAGAACCTGGAAATTATGGGAGATATACTTGTCAGCGCAGCGAAGAAGCTCCTGGCATGCATAGGTATCGGCGAACGCTCGAATTCCCAAACAATTCGATGGTTTCAACAACCTCATCATGACCTCGCCACATACGTCCTACAAACAAATCTGAACAGCAAAACTCCATGAAAGTACCGATAATCATTCGGTACAATTTCGTATCCACTGTTGACTCGTTTTTCTTATCATTTTATTTTTTACTATTCATCTTATCTATTCAACATCATGTCATTTCGACCCTTGGTTTGTGCACCAACCTGTCCGTTATTTTTTTCGAGCTTTTCCACGCCAAAGGAGCCTAATGTCCCTAGGAAACTATCCTACGTTGAATCGATCCAAGAAATTATGTGAGAGCTTCAGGCTGAAGCAGTTATTGTAGAAGACGTGAGGGTAGTTAAGGGGGGCCTGCACTTATAGAGGGACATTTCTGGGAATATTTTGCTGAGCAACATCCCTCAACGACGGCAATCTCTGCGAAGAAAAAGGCCGAAGTGCGACCTGGGCAAAATGTTTTTTTTTTTTTGCCCCTCCCCCTGTACAACGATTGCCTGTGTACACATATAATATTGTAGATTGTCTGTCGCTTGTAGAAATCTATGGACATCAGCATGAGAAATTATTGATTTTGCGACTATTTTGATTGATTTGAGATTTCTCCCCAAGGATGCTAAAAAGCGGGTAGCCCTTAGAGCGAATTGCAGGTCAACATGTATGCCAAGACAACGTTTGCGCTATCATGAAATAATGCCAATTTCTCGATCATCGCCCAGCGAAGGAAAATGAAAAGAAAAAAAAAAAAAAAAAAAAAAAAAAAAAAAAAAAAAAAAAAAAAAAAAAAAAAAAAAAAAAAAAAAAAAAAAAAAAAAAAAAAAAAAAAAAAAAAAAAAAAAAAAAAAAAAAAAAAAAAAAAAAAAAAAAAAAAAAAAAAAAAAAAAAAAAAAAAAAAAATTTCATATTTTTAAATATTTTTTGCGAGTGAGATAGCGGGATTCTCGATCGCAAGACTCACGGTATCGTCACGACTTATGAGAGAGTTAATGCCTCCTTAATGCCTTCGCTTGAACCGCCGGAACGCTCCTGTTATGGTCCATTCTTCGTCTTATTGTGGTGTCTTATTGTTAGTGCCTCTGCCCTCTCGCGTACGTCGTACTCTCTCGCAATTTCTCTCTCCTGGCAGCGTTGTGTCTCTCCGTTATACCACGGTCAATCTCACAAGGAAAAGCTCAGTGTTTTCTACTGCGCCTTCTGCTTCCCACTAACGTTCCTCTTCGGACTTCTTGTCTAATTTTCGATCAGTGTGAGATCCCAATCTGATCGCGATCTATGATTCGAAGGACGAATCTAATACTGCGACGAAGCCAAGCCATTGAGGAAATAACTAACCTTAACTTCGTTCAGTTGGAGCAGGCAAGCAGCCGGAAGAATACTCCTTACATTGCTGTCGTTGATTTTTATTTTCCAGTATAGCAGAAATTAACGAGGGCGTCGAGCGTCGAGGCCTCCATGTCGGCAATTTCTATTTCTTCTGCAAGAAAAATTACGTTGTATGAGACCATTCATGGTAACTACCAGGGCAAAAGTTTGGGTTGGAGGATAACACCGTTACGCAATATTAGCCTCCAACCGAAACTTTTGCCCTAGTAGTTACCATGAAATTACCAAGTTACACTCGGCAAAAACGTTTAAGCAAAACATAAAAGCAAATCCAATGGTAAGCATGAATCGTTCTATCGATCGTTTCCCTCTATTCTCCAAACTCAAACGCTTTAACCCGATTGTCTCTCCAGGCGTTACCTTGTCCCCGCCCAACCTACCCCCGACCGTCCCTTGAGTGTGGCTTGTTTCTTCTCGAAAACTGAATCTTTCTGCGTGGAATATTGTACGTTTACTAATGATCAAACTGACATATTCATGTTGTGGGTGGATAAAAAGGTTTTCCGTGTCTTCTAAAGTGTTAACATACGTAAGCGGTTTTCAGCCACTTCATTGTTGAATATGTCCCTGAAATAACTGGAACATGCAGCGAGAATGAGCCGATGAGCATTGATTCGTGTTCCCTGGAATACCTCATTTGAGTATGCCGAACTGTCCAATACCTCGAGTAGATTACCTTAACAATCAGAGTTACATCACAAAGCAGAGTGTCGTCGCGAAGTTTTGCGAGCCCAGTGGTCATATGACGATTGTAAGCAGAACTCTAAACACTAAATTGAAGCGCATGTTCACAAGAAAAGGTGGCCGGTCGAACTGGCCGTCTGTGTATGTACACTTTTCGAATGCGCTTTGAGAGATATAAACCTGTCTTTCAAATTATTTCTTAGCGAGCAAAATTACAAAATGTTTTTTTCATGGCGCGCACCCAAGCCCAGTACGGGTGAAACAAGGATTCAGCAAGTGCTTTGAAAGCCTAATGAATACACAGTCTTCAAATCCACAACATACGCGATTCCAGCCCATGAACACTCCCTTTTGCCTCGCAGAGCGGTGAGTTATGAAAAAATCATTCGCCCCAGGCGGAACTCAAACTCGCACCTCTCGTTTACCCAGCAAGTGCGCTACAAGTTTTCATTGTGTTTACCACAGCTTATCAGCATGCTGATATGCCTTGGTAGACATACGCAAAAAGCTGTTACGGCGAAACTGCCCCGGTAGCGTAGCTCAATTGCTAACCAATCATCATCAACCTCACTCCCTTTCTCAGCTTCAAACTGCCGACCTTCTGAGAACACGGCGAGTTTCGGATACCGCTGGCAACAAGTCACTGATAGGTTGTTCAGGCACATACTGATGATGGATATTGCTTCTGTTGGGATAGTGATAACTCAAAAGATGCTTGAAAGTGGCACTAACTTTTGGGACACCCTAATAAATGGAATCTGTTGGGACCGAAGCGGAACTGCTGTGCCTGTACCAACTTCTACGCCAAGCGCTGCTGAAAGGCAAGGTTTGACCCGTGTCAGACACCAAATCCAGTGGCTAGCGCAGCGCAGGGTACAGGCCATACGTCAATGGTTCAAAGATGCACCAGCGATTCAAACGAGGCATCAGCGACTTGACAATGTGGGGAAAGCGGCGAGAGTCCCTCTCATGTGCACGCTGATTCCAGCCACTTCTCCATGTTTCGTGCTCGCGCGAATCCGGGAAAATGGGGAGAATAAAAGTGCGCATAAGAAGGATTCGATTTCCCTCGCACTGCCAAACCGCAGGTGCACCGTTCGTACTGCTGACTCATCACTCGTCCTCCCTAGCGAGCGATTCGTTGGATTCGCAAAGTCTGACACCGGCCTTACCATGAAGTCGCGACTGACCACATGACCGGCTCCACAAACACCAGGTTGGTTTTAATGCTTAGTCGAACTTCAACCCTCATCATTAGTAAAGGACGGTTGGTAGATTGTCCACAATGCATCCTGCACTTGGGTCGTGGACTATTGCCACGCCGACAAAACCGAATAGTGGCACCAGTTGTGCACAATCACAACCATGGTCTCTAGGAGTCATCAGCGACTTGACCGAAGAAGTTATTCAGGTGCTGGTGCCTATGTAAATAAGCAAGACCTCCTTCAGCTCGTAAGCAAAGGCAGGTGTTCAGGTTAGGGAAATGGTGAAGACAACGGACAAGGCTTGTTGTGACTTAACGAGGAATATTTCGTTGAGTAACTTCCGTCGATGTCCTTCTGGTACATATTGGCCAATAGAAATGCGCCTTCCTCAGTCATGGCTATTACTCCTATAATTTGACCACCTCCACCGAAAAGAATCTGCGTCGCGGCGCCAGTAGCACGCACCTTTACCTCGTAGGTAGCCATACCAAGTCTCAACAACGCTCTTTTGATACCCTATCAAAACAAGCACACGTATTTTTACCTTGAAACTCGAGAGTATGCTCAACATCTTCCTTCTCGTTGATATCTTCTTTCGGTTCTTCATCTTCCTTCTCGTTGATATCCTTCTTCCTCTTCTTCTTTTGGCGAAGGGGGGCCTGAATCGCCCGACATTCCTATGCCTTTTTTGCTATCACCTCCTCGTCCCGCTACAGAGCTGCGTTTTAGCGAACAAGACGTATCCACAAGTTCGAGGATATCTAAAACAATGCCATTTTATTAAAAAATATAACATAAGGGTAACAGAAATCGTTCTCACTTCCACTATACTACGCATCACATTAGAGGGGATAGATTTCGTTATCAAGCGCTCAGCACGAAAAATTAATTTCCTCAACAACACGAGTCTATTTCCCTTCTAGCTATTCTAGGTTGCATGATCAAAGGAACGAAACATGTCTGGTATCAGAATGCAATAGCGATGAAAATGGCGAGAAATCTCGAAATATGTATTTGAACGAGTCATAATTTGTAATTTTTTCATACCTTTGCCATTCACAAAAAAAATCAGTACTGCAGTGAACCTGATGAGCTCCCAAGCCCGAATTTTTTCTTCTTGAAGTTTTCCTTTATCAGAATAGAAAACTTAATGCTTCATGTCATTGTATGTTAGCGTTGCTCTTGAAATTGGTCCGAAATTTTTTAGAATTCCTCTAAAACAAAGTTTCAGTCGTTGCCACCAGAATTGTCGCGTTCGGCGCCGAAACATGCTGCACTGAAATGCGCCACCGCGCTCTACCTGTGGAGAATGGCAGAGGCATTCGGAAATCTGCTCTTGAGTAAAAGTTAGCCGATCTGAGGAGACTAGGAGGATCCTAGGGGAGCGAGGGTAGTGCTCTCGCTGCGGAGGGCACGTTGCTAGCGTACCATAGTAGTGGGGCTTTAACCGTGGCGACCGCAGCCTTCATGGAAAGCACCGAATCCGGTGGTTGGCTGATAACAGAACCAAGCCGAATGCTAATGGAGCGTCCAGAGTTGGCGATCGTACGTGCGATTGGGCGATTAGGCGCCAGTTCAATAGTCAAAGAAAAATACACGTGTAGATAAGGCGAACAGGCGATTGGGAGATTAGGCGACTACATTATTTTCATTTTCATCAAGACAACCTTACAGTACCAGTGCTATCACCTGCCTTCAACATCGTTCTTAGTTGTTCTCCTTGTGGCCACCTCGTTGAGAAAAAATGTCAAACGAAAAACACAAGAGAGATCTATTTTCCCACATTTGCCAACATGTTCGGTTCTTCTAATAGTTCGTACCATCTCATCCTTCCGCACCCAAACAGTGATCACACGCGGCTCGGACGCCCACTACCGCCGTGCGTTCACGACTCTAGGACTCTCTTCGTGGATCAAATACGGTCCCCTTGCTGGGAATCATTCAACGAAAGGCACAATCGAAGCATATCAAGTGTCGAGAAGAGAACTTCACTTTGGAAGTAGGCTTTGTGTTCAATGGGTCAAGCGACTCCTAGAGGCAATTTGTAACCAACCCGAATCAAAGGGGAGCATTTCGGAAAAGGGGAGCAGCCATTGGTTTTTTTTCAACATTCCTTCCAATTGGTAATCCTGAAACAAGTGTTTCCATTCTCCTCCTCAGGTCGTCACCGGAAATTTAGGCACTACTCACTCGCTAAAAGCAAGCCTGGTACTAACATAAGCTTAGGCCCAAACGTAGGTTTAAGCATAAGCCACTGTGTATGCACAAATCCAAGCTGAGCCTAAACTCAAGCATACCCTTAGGCTTCAATGACTGGGCACCTTCGGTGACTTGACCCAGGGAGAACTGAACGTCTCCCTCTTCGAACCAACCTGCCATCGAAGACTGATTTTTTGATAACAGTGACTTTTATAACTAAATTATGTGACTCCAGACCTTCCCACAACTAAAAAATGTGACTCCAGACCTTCCCACAACCATCACAGGAACTATTACCGTAACAGAATGAAAGTAATTTCGCCTGACTGAGAAGGAAATTCTACAGTGGACAATCTTGTTGTTGCCAAATTCATTCCCCTGTTTATCGTCATGGTTTCCGAAACGCTAATGTTGTTATGGAAATAAGTTTCACTTGCATCTGATGGTCTACATTGCGGATACATGTTTTGAATACAAAGCCTATCTCTGCAAAAATCTTCACTGAATTGACAACATAATGTATTGCGGCGGGTGTCTGTGTCTCCGCACGAATGTGTGAATGAGAACAAACTTTCGAAAACGTTGTCGTAATGTTTCAAAGGAATGACATGTGAATCACTCGATGAATCGAAAACATCAGTCAGTATTGATTTCTTTTTTCTGAAGCATGGCTTATTTGCTTCATGCCAAGAGCAGATTCCGAAGAGTGGTTTATAAGGGTAAGTAACTGGTAACGAGGATCAATCGTCCGTTCGTACAAGGGCAAAGGGAGGGGTTGAATTTGGCTCCCGGGGGTGGAAGGGGGAGCAGTCGGAGGTCCGGAGGCGCCTAAATGAACAGCGACAGAAATCATGGAGACAGCCCTACCAATCACTGATAGAGATACTAGCCTTAGCAAGGTGGAGAGCTTCAAATGAGCCGCGAATTTGAAGCGCCGGCGTGGGCATGGCGCACCTCATGGCAGGAATACCTAGCGAAAAACTCTCTGCATTCACACTAGCAGCATCGAAGATATACTTTAGATAAATT